AAAATATTTCTAAGTTAAATTTGAAAAAAGGCTCCTAGGTTTAGGAAAATTTTTTTTTAATTCTAAGTTAAAGTTGAAAAAAATAGAATAATTTTTTAAATATTGATTGGACTTTTAATGTTACATAGTATGTGAAACTATAGTATGTGTTAGCATATGAAACTATAGATAAGATCGTTGATCTATAGTTATTCGTATATTGTCATTCATGATGTTTTTACATAGATTTCGTTTACTGCAATGAAAATTACAAAATATTTTAAAAACCATTGTTTGCTGATATAAATCTTTTGATTCCTTAGAATTATAATAACAAAACAAAGTTTACAATGCGCAGTAAAGCGGCGCACAATGCTAAGAAAAAATGTAATTTAAAAAAAAAAAAAAAAACGAATAATAATAATTTTTGATCCAATGGTCGGATCTTCATGTTTTAGGACTCAATCTTAATGGTTCGAGGGGGTAACCTCAAATGTGCTAAAAAATTAGTACATATGATATTTTAAGTTACAAAATTAGACTTCAATTATTATCACTTATCAGTACTTTTTCTGAAAAACACACTTTTTTTTCAACGGATTCGGATTTCTGACTGTTACGGTTTCAATGAATACGGATTCCTGACTCCCAAAATAACAGCTGCAATTCAGAAAATATGGTTCTCATCGTTTCGTCAGGAAAGCGATCCAAAGTTTAGACCAATAATGTTACTTTTACTTTTTTCGGATATCGCCATATCTCAAGAACATTTTAAGCGTATTGAACAATTTTTGTACACAATTATAAAATTCGTTTAACCCAAAATAATTGCATGCAAAAATTAAGTTGTAGTAAATAGTTATTATTTTTTACTATTTTATTAAATAACAGTCGAAAATTTTTTGAATTATAATGTATGAAATATTTTGTATCATTTTAATGTATGTAATTTTTCTTACATGGCAAAATAAAAACAAAATAGATTGAATACTTATTGAGAAATCGAATTTTTAAAAAAAGGCCAATTCGCTCAACCAATATTCAACCTATTTTGCTTTATTTTTTTATTTTGCCATGTAAGACTAGATAATTTTGAATGGTGTAAAAAAATGTATGCCTTACAATAAAATTTTTTAGACTGTTATTAAATAAAATAATAAAAAATAATGAATACTTACTGAAATTTATTGTTTGCATAGAATTATTTTTGGATAAAAGAATTATAAAATTTCTATTGTCAAATTAACTTAAAAAATATTTCGCAATATGACGAGCATGTTATCATTGCTGAAATTACTATTACTGAATTTTCCCAACGGAAATATTTGCTATTACAACATATGCACAACAATGAATACAAAATGTCTCTAAATAACATACACTATAACTGTCATTTTTGTTATTTAAATGAGAAAAAAACATTTTGTGAGAATTCTAAAAAATAGGCCATGAGAACAGAGCAATCAGCATAACTACTTTCATAACTACATTTATAACTATTCAGCATATTAAGAATCTTATTTCTTTGACGAATGTCTATGTTTTTTTTAATAAAGAAATACACAGATGAAATTTCTAAAAATTTGTCAATAACGGCTCTTATTTGATTTGCTAATTCGCAAAATGGAACGCAGGAACTTTCGTGACCTGCTCAATTCTTATTCAATTATTGTGGAGACTGCTTTTAACTTGAGTGAGTTAGTGTTATAGCACGTAGTTTCTTTCGAAAATTGCTCAGAAGTGGAGACTGTTTCTGTCTTCGGTTAGTCATGATTGAGTTATAATGCTATTTACTGAACAACAGTAGAAGAAGAATAATCCTGAAAGAGTTCAGAATACAAATTCAATAAGCATTATCAGAATTCTAGAGAGAGCTGCCAAATTTTCCTAGAATGAAAATATGTTTTCCTAAATGAAAATATGTTAAGTCGATATATGGATTGAGAAAAAAATATGGTCAAAACTACCGAATTATGGTAAAATTTAGAGTGTTTCTGGCTCTATAGGAATACCAAAAAGCTCAGTAAATATTGATTTTGGAAAAATTAACAATAAAATATAGTTTTATAATGTGAATGATAAAAATGGAAATTTTTTAAAAATTTTAGCGCGATACCTTATGGTATTAAAATTATTTATTCGCAGAAATTTACTTTTCTATTTTGTATTTTTTACTAAGTGTCTGGTAATAAAAGATATAATTTTGAAAACCAGAATTTCCAGCAAACCATTATCATATGGACGCAAATATTACCAAATGAATGATTTAAATACCGTAAATTTTTTTAAAACCAAAATTATGTTGTTTTTTTTAGCAGAAATGTCATTACTATTCAGAATGGTATGTTTAATGCAATTTTGACAATTTTGCAATGAACGTCTAGAGAAAAGAATAAGAAATACTTTTTTGTTATAATTATAAGTGGCAAAATGCAAAAGTTGAATAAAATCGTCTGAATAACTTCTGACTAATAAAATTTCAAGAAGATCAGATTTCAGTCAATTTCTTGACGTTTTTCATTTAAAATTACACAAATAAAAATCATGAAAAATTTACAAGTCATTACAGCAAAATGAATTTTGGACCATTAAGTAATAAAAATACTAAATGATTATGAATTTTTTTTCATGGAAACTTTCTTTGCATAAGTGAGTATTGTCAATAATTTTCAGATTTTCTCAAATATATTCACATATTTGTCAAAATATATAAAAATAGTAATTAATATCAACGGGTTTATACCAAAAATTAATCAGCATATTTAAAATAAGTCTTTCCGTAGTACGTGAATTAGTAAATCCAACCATTAAATCAAAAGCTATTAAGGTGACCCGTTGTTTTTATTTTGAGTGCTACTTATAGTATTAACTTTATCAAGCATTGTATGATGTATTTTGCAAAGGACTTGTATAAGATTCATGTTTACTACTTTGTTAGATTATTTATAAGTAATATTGTTAAAAATTAAATTGCATTTTTTACATAAATGATTAGGGCCGGGGTAGCTTGGTCTGTAGGGAGCTGGGCCTATGTCCGAGAGTTCATGGGTTCGAACCCAGCCAGCCGAAGACTCCCCGTGTAGTAAAGTGACTGATGCGCGTTAAATCTGTCGAGTCGCAAAGGTTCTCCATGTTCCCATAACAAATCAATACCTCTAGGGGTACTCGATTGGAGATCGATCGTTCTCTGATTCAGGTAAAAATTACGTGGATGAATGAATGGGTCCTCCCTATAAACGGGTGTGACGTATGGTGTGGCAGAAGTCGAATTCTTGGCCATAGGTGGCGCCACTGGAAAACAGGCATACGTCAACAACAACAACATAAATGATTAATATTTAAAAGACTGTCCCATTTTTTCTTTTGCCTAAAATTTTCGTGGAGAAAAAAATCCTTTTACGAAGATAATTTCACGTTTAGAGTTTAACTCTAATTATGTTTGAGTTAGCGTTAACTTAAAGAAGTTTAGTTAAAATTTATATTCGGTATGGAAAACATATGACGCAATTATTTAAGGTATCCAACTGGGTAAAAATCAGCAATTTTTACGAAAATTTAAAATTTTTTTATCGTCTATATTTGAATTTTTGTACATTAGCTTTCTAAATCACTTTAAAACTTTGTTTTCCTGTTTTTAGAGTAAAACGTATAGTAGTTTTTTTGCATGTTGACTGAAAAAACGGAATACCAATTGCATACTTTCAATGCATTTTCAGTCGAACGCTGAATTTCGAAAATATTTTTATGCGAACACACATTACGAAAAAAAAGTTTATTATAGAATTCTTTGAAACTTTGAATATTGATCATGTATAATGTTAGCTATGTTTTGAACTGAAAGCTAAGTATAAATTTTTTTTATGCTTTAAGTAATATATTTTGAACTTCTTTTCAAAATTCAATATTAAACAAAATACTTAACTCTGTTTCATTGTATATATGAAATTTCATATAGATTTTAATTCAAAACCAAGTAGCTATATTACTAATCTAGAAAAAAAATTGTTATAATATTTATGCATTATAGTTTGTTGCAGAGCTGCTAGAGGAACATAAAAAACTAGTAGCTCTTATGTTTAAATTATTGCTCTTATTTTAATTTATACATTTTTAATATAAATTTTTAAAGTTTACTTTAGATTAAAAATTGGACCCCTGCTTATCAAAAATGAAATTAAGATTTTAATTAATACTGTTTGAAAACAGTCGGTTGAACCTAGTTGGATACCCAAGCAACGTTGGACGTGATTAAAACTTGTTTTGAAAATGTATTAGGCTGTTAAAATAGTTCTGCCACTACCTTGCAGAAAGATCTCGTTTAGAGCAATAACGAATTTAAAACCTAAGTTCAGTTTCATCCAAAGTGATTTAGAGCTTATCGATGAAAGTTTAAACTAAGAACACCAAAAAACAACAACAAAAAATGAAAATTCATAAAGTTGAAACTTTCGCAAGTGTTGTAGAATTTTTTTAACAATTTAATAATTAACTCCCATGATTTGGGTGCTTAAAATAACTTTTAGGTTAGATAAATTCATAGACTAAAATAAATCCATGGACTAAAAAAATCTACAGTTTAAAAAAACCTCAAAGCAGTAAATATGAAACCATTTGTAGAAAATATTTGATTTTGGGAACAAAAAATATCATTAAATGAGGATAGAAACATGCCAGTTTGACTAAAATTTAAAATATTTATAACAAATAATTGCAGATGTTAAAATTACTTAACTCTAATCTCAATAAATAATAACAATTATTGACAATTTTATGACAGGTTATTTTTCTGGTATATAAAGATTTTCCAGATTCTTATAAAAAATTGAAACTTTCTCTGACTATTCCCTGCTTTTTAGAGTTCAGCAACCTGACTATTCCAGATTTTTCCTGCTCTGCGTGGCCAGTGGGAACTCTCATATATGTTCTATTCGAATAGTAATATTTATGTATAATCTTTTGATTAGTAACGTAACGCTTACAAATAAAAAAAAACAATAAGTTTAAGTAACATTATTACTTACCGATATTCGGTACTCGTGCAGATAAAGGCCTTCTGAGTTGTGTAACATACTTGTAAGCATCTAATCGGATTTCAACGATGTTATTCAAAAGGGCAAACAGTGGAGCAAGCGGAAAAGCAGCAACAAACAATGTTACAAATCCAAATTGTATGACTGAAAAAGAGAAATTTGCTTCAAAACAATTCATTTAAGGCCGCTGATAATTCATTTAATAATAAAATCAGTTTATACCATCAAAGCGTAGAACTAACTATTATTTCAACATCGATTAAAAATATTTTGTTTTTAGCAAAAAACTCTTTTTGGAAATTTTGACGACTTTAGATAAGTTTGTGAAGGAAAATTTCAAACTTTGTTTTGAGCCGAGACATTGCGACCAATTTAACGAATAAAACTCACTAACGAGGAATTCGTTAAATCGGGATTGAACTGTATTATATTTGCAAACAAATTGAAATAATCCAAGGAAAAGACCAAAGATTAGGTCAAGACCTAAGATAATATCAATATCCTAAGAAATAGCTTTCATAGTTGATAGAAATTACAATTTTTAAAGATAAATTTTAAAAAAAATAATTTAAATATGACTTAAACCACTAACAGTTGAGTAGTGATCACTAACTATCTTTCTGCCAAACCCCAACCAGCCTGATCAAATTGCTTTTCTTCTTTAAACTTAGAAGATTAAAGTTTATTCTTAATATAAATGGAATTTTCCCCTCAAATAAGTGGATAGAAACCACTATCAGCATTTTAGTTTGATAAAGTTATTTTTGACTTGTGGGATAAAAAATTTTTTTAAAATAAGAGTGGGACTTTTATCGCTTAACCGAATTTAGCAATTGCGAAAAGTATTGCAGTTAAACTTAATTAAATTTGAAAAAAATCATTTACTAACCAGGAAAATAAAAAATGTTTCTGATACATAATTGAGACTTTTACGATGAACAAGTGAGTAGAAACGATTAATTAACGGTAATTTAATTAAACTTTACACAGTTGGAAAAAGCCTTTTTGACTTAGAGAGAAAAAATGTACAAAAGACACAATTTAAGTACAAGCAAATGGTAGAAGTCATTGGCAGCATATTAGGCAAATCATAGCCAGCTTGAATAATTCGTATGTTAGCTTTTTAGCTTCCATGTGCAAGACAAACATTTGAAAAAAAAATAAAAATAAATAAAAAAGGGCTACCCTGAATAACTTTTGAGCCAATGACCGAAGTCTTCATGTTCTAGATTTCAATTTTGTAGGTTCGAGGGGTTGACCTGAAATATACTAATTAATTAGGACCGACGATATTTTTAAGTTACGAAAATGTACTTCCTTTAAATAAACACACCCTTTTGATAGATTAGTATTTCTGACCTATGAAATATAAGGGGTATCCGCTATTTGGGAAATATAGTCCCAATAGTTAGATCACGAGAGCGGTCCAAAGCTTACGCCTCCTTAAAAATTTAAATATACAACTTGTTTAAAATTCGATTTCTCAGAAACTATTCGACCGATTTCCCTCAAACTTCGTATTTTCCCATTTAAAATTACATTGTTTGAAATGAGGTAATAAATTATATACCTTACAATTTTTTAGTAAAACAATAAAAAATCAAAGCTTAACCCCGTCCGGCCCCCGTCAAGGGGCATCCGGAGAATACTGTAGGCTCTAAGTACGCGTACGTGACCTCTCAGCAAAAGAAAAAGAGGATTCAAAAAGGTAGGCCTGGTGGCGATTCATGGCAACACCAGAAGGCCTCAAAGAATTTAGTGAAATGTTAGAATTAACAATAGTAGTTACTCAGAAAATAGAATTTAGGAGTTTGAGTGTTCAAACATAATAGGCGAGGCATCAATTAAAATAAAAAAATAAAATAAAACATTGAAAAAAGGTAACAAACATATTGTGATGATGAAAAGTACCAGAAAAAACAATAAAAAATAATAAATATTTACTAAAATTCATATTTTTCTATTTTTTGCAAGGAAAGTTTGGATAAACGAATTCTATAATTATGTTCAAAATTTTTTTCAATTCGCTAAAAAAAAAAAAGTTCTTGAGATCTGGGGAAAATGAAAAAAAATAAAAAAATAAAATTGGTAATAACATATCCAAACTTTGGATCGCTCTTCTGATCAAAAATTATGGAGTCCATATTTCTCAGATTGCTGCTGCCCCCTATATTTTATAGGTAAGAAATCCCAATCCGTCGAAAAAAGGTGTGTTTTTTCAGAGTTCCGTTCTTTTGCTCACTATATATTTTATTTAAATGAAAAAAAGAGGAAATAATACTTTTAGAATAAATCGATCAACAATGTATAATTTATTCAAAAATTTTTTTGCATGAAGAAGTTTTCTGTATGAAAATAAACTCAGTTGTTAAAATAGTGTCGGAATAAAAATAATTATGTATGGATTAAATTTAAGCTAACAAATGATACTTCGGCACGTGTATTGCAAAATATATTTTAAATAAAAAAAATGTTTTAGTTTAAAACATTTAAATGGTTTAAATGTTTTAAATGAATGTAAAAAAAAGTTTCAAGACAGTAATTAAAGGTACAAATGATACTTCGGCACGTGTATTGCAAAATATATTTTAAATAAAAAAAATGTTTTAGTTTAAAACATTTAAATGGTTTAAACGTTTTATATGAATGTAAAAAAAGTTTCAAGAGAGTAATTAAATGTACAAATGATACTTCGGCACGTGTATTGCAAAATATATTTTAAATAAAAGAAATGTTTTAGTTTAAAACATTTAAATGGTTTAAACGTTTTAAATGAATGTAAAAAAAAGTTTCAAGAGAGTAATTAATGCTAAAAGCTTTTTAAAAATGTAAAGTAGAACCTTGAAAGTTGTTCTATTATAATGAAGCTCTTACTCTCAATATTTTTTTCATTATTTATATTTCTTACTTTCTTTTTAAATAAGTAAAAGTTAATGATTACGAATTTTCCATTAGCTCTGATTGTAGCTATTAAAAGACTCACATTATTTAGTTGAGCTTATTGTCTGAGCAAATGCGTGGGTTTTATAAATAAAAATATGTTAACAGTTAAGAATAGACGAAAAAATTAAGTATTCGAAAAAGAATCTATTAATTAAAACTAATTGCATATATCCAATGCTTTTTCACTTAGAAAATACTTAAAGTATAATTAATAATCTATAGTTATTTAATTTTAGAAAGTTTCAAAGTTTCAGGGGCACTTAATATTAGTTTTATGCTTTCAGGTGATTTAAGTTTTATAATTTCAGATATTAGTTTAGGTTCAGAGTCAAGTGCATCACATGTATATACACCGAAGAGTCATTACATTATGACCACCTTCCATCTATAATAATGGGCTCGCCCAGGTTATCATGGTTTCTCGCCCTGGAACAATGTTTTCATGGGGCACATTAGGACCCATAATCCTCATAGACCAATCTCTGACGTCTGCAAGCTACTTGAACATAGCTGCAGACCAGGTTCACCCATTCATGGCAACAGTTTTTCCTGCTAGGGATGGTGTTTACCAACAGGATAATGCACCATGTCATAAGGGTCAAATCGCCGAGGAACATTCCAGTGACTTTCAAGTCACGTCTTGGAACCCAAATTCACCTGACCCTAATCCAATCGAGCATTTGTGGTCCTTCTTGGAAAACCAAATTCGTGCTGCCACGCTACCCCCTCACAATGTGAGGGAATTGCAGGACCAGTTGGTGAGCGCTTGGTACCAGATACCTCAGACTACCTATCAGCACCTTGTGGAATCAATGCCACGGCGGGTGCTAGCAGTTTTGAGGGCNACGATTATATCCGCAAAAAAGAGTGCTTTCTAATATTGTATCAATATAGCCAAAGCAAAATATATATATATATATATATATCAGTTTTACAGTCTCAAATGAACCGGATAATAGTTTTTTCAATTTTAGGTGTTAGTATCTTCAGTGTGGGTGTATCAGATATTAGTTTTCGATTTCGGATATATCAGACATTAGTTTATGTTTAGAGTCAAGTGCACCAGATATAGATATCAATCTTATAGTCTCAGGTGAATCAGATATTAGTTTTACAGTTTCAGGTGTATTAGATATTATCTTTAGTGTCAGGTGCACCAGATATAGATATCAATTTTGCAGTGTCATGTGTATTAGATAGTAACTTTAATGTTAGGTGTATCACATATTAGTTTTATAATGTCAGATATATCACATATTAGTTTACAGCGTGAGGTGTTTTGGATATTAGTTTAAAAGTATCAGGTGTATCAGTTATTAATTTTAGAGTGTTAGGTGTATCAGATATTAGTATTACGATTTCAGACGTTTTAGATGTAAATTTTATTGAATTACCAAATTACAATATATATTTAAACGATAAAATTAAGTTTATATTGATTAAGGGGTTTGAGTAATTTTTATACGTCATGGCTGCAAGTTTCGCCAATTTTTCTATAGCGCTTTGTAAATATTTTTGTTTATGAGTGTTCATTTTTTTCAGGATCCACTGCATCGATATAGTTAATGTGTGATAAATATAATGCATGCTGTGATTTCGGCAGTAAGTTTAGGAGCTTAAAAATAATTTTTTTTTAGTTTAAAACTCTTCAAACCCGATAGTAAGCTACAGGAAGGAAGGCCAGGAAGTACTTCTTTACTGGACCTAGTAAGATAAAAATATTAGGCCGTTCCGTTTCACAATGCAACCGTTAAACAGACCGAGCGAATGCTACAAAATATCTATTTCTAAAAGTAGATTGGTTTGAAATGAAATGAAATTTCTGTTTATTATTTTATTGAATTTTATTTATCTCTCTCAAGGTCTTTGTTTTATAAGATAACTCTTGCGTTGATGTCAAACATAACAAAAAAATTAAGAGGAGATTAGTAGTTGCCAGACATAGAACGTGATATTTAAATTGATTTCCTTTTTAAAAAAAGCAAAAAATAAACTTAATTTAGGAGACTTAAGCGTTATAAAACCATTTCCAATTCGAAAGTTCTTTAATGATATAAAGTTATCGTTACATATCGTTAACATGTAAAATTACATCTCATTTTTTTCTTATTGTTGAGTCCCATAATCTTTTTTCTAAGTTTAATTTTTTCGTTTAATTAATCTCCTAAGTTTAATATTTTTAAGTACTGTCGATTATTTTTCAAATCAATGTAATTATTAATTTCGTTTTTGTTACGTCCAATATAGTATCAAAATTTTCTGACATAAATTACAATAATTTTATATTTCATCAACTAGAACGGCCATTAATTTTTTTTTTTTTAATATCTTCTTGTGAGAAAATAAAGAATAGCGAGTGAGAAGCAATCACATGGGATGGCAAGCGGAGCCAGCTGTGCTGCCTAGTTCATATAAAATTGATGAGTTTAGTTGTGTTTTGAAAAAATATTTATAAATGTCTACTTTCTCTAATTGCGTGTGGGTGAGCCGTGGTGGCTCAGCGGATAGAGCGTTTGCCTCCTAACTAGGTGAACCGGGTTCGAAACCCAGCTATGGCTGGTCAATACGAATTTCGCCCTAGGCTGATACCGACCACAATGCTGACGTAAAATATCCTCAGTGGTAGATGGATCATGGGATAGAGTCCCTCTGCTGTCAAGCTAACAGTGGGAGGTTTTCGCTGTTTTCTTCTCCACGTAACGCAAATATGTGTTCGTTTTATCAAAAAGTCCTCCGCGAAGGCGAATTTCTCCAAATACCGGAGTTTCTTGTTGTTCTGGATTGGGCTCAAAATTACAAGAATGCGAAGTTGAACATTGGTAGTCGTGAACCAAAAATTATTAAGTAAAATTTCGAGTGTGTGTTTTTTAGTATTTGCCATTATTCCAAACCCGAAAATATGTCTTAATTATGTTTCAGGAACAATTTTAATCCAGTAAATGTGCTGCAAGTGCTTTTGAAACTGTTTCAATCATGTAATTCTGGCATTATACCGTTTTAGTTAAATATAAAAGATGTTTGGCGAGTTTCATTGAAATGTCGTCCCTGGTAAATATTTAATCCTTAAAATATTTGCTAATAGATAAGTGAAAATAATTGAAAAGTGCACAAAATGAAATGATTTTACAACCATATTTTTATCATTACTGAATACGGCTCACTGCAGAAGTTTTTTTCGTGATGGTAAGTCAATACATTGCAAGTAAGGATTTTTTAATGCCTTCATAAGGTTTGATTAATTAATTTAATGATGATCAGTTTTCTTACGAACATTTGACCCTGTAACTTATTTATCAAAACACTATAAATACTGTGCAGAAATCCTGATAAATTGATGTTACTAGTACACATTGTATTAAAATTTGAAGCAAATCAGTTGTACTGCTAAGAAAACTCTATTTAATATTTACGAAACCTTTACTTTTAATTTATAATGCATCCACTCCCCTTTAATCTTAATGTTTTTTCTCTTTTCTTTTCAATTATGTAAAGTAGAAAACTTTCATTTAAAAAAAATGGATCTTTGTTCGTAAGTATAACACTTTAGAAATAAATGCATAGGTTGGACAAAATAATAGAAACACTTCTATACTAACTCGTTCTTTTTATAATTCTCAAGAAATTCTGAGAGAATTATTTTGAAATTTAAGAAGCGGTTTGATCATCCCATTTCTCATACACATTAATAAAGTTGAAAGCTTTTCGAGATTTGAGGAAACGACAATAAATTACGAACAAAAACAAAAATGTTTTTGAACGCCCTATTCGATAAGCTTGTAATTGATGTAAATTACGTTGATTTTCATGGCATAAAATTTCGCAAACCTTCTTAAATATTCATGGATCAAGCTTAAATATTCATGGAGATATGGTTGTTTTCACATAAAAAAAATAGTTTTTACTTACGTTTTCTTACTATAAATGCAGACAAATCTTATAAAAATAAACAAAATGCATAGACCTTTTAATTAATATTAAAAATATTTTAAAATTTGAAAAAAAAATTCGTCAAAAATTGCAGAAGATATGAGTATTTAAGGTAATATTTCATACAGCCATTAAAAATATTTAATTTTTTTTTGGTTTGCAATCGTATTTGGTATTTTATGAAAAAAGTTCGATTTGAATGTCTTGAAAATTTAAAAAATTTCTAATAATTCTCGAATAAATAAAATTTCGTTTGATAACTTGAAAAGAAATCTTTGAATAGTAAGGGATTTTCCAAAAATTTAATTTTGTTTTTTTTTAAACAAGATTTATTAAAAATGGCATCACCATTATTTAGGACCACACCCTAATAAATTATGTTTTTTTCCCAATACCATCACATTTTGTTGTCCGGATCACCATTTTAGGGTATTATTTTTTATTATGAAATTTTGTTTTATGATATAAAAGGAAATTTGTTGAAAACCCCTTGTCATTTAAAGCTGTTAATAAAAAAGCATAAAAGCTATTTGTAAGTTTGCTAAAAACTTTATAAATTTTCGAGATATTCAAATCGAATTTTTTTCATAAGTTACCAAGTATGATTCTACCACGCATTAGCAGTATGAGAGGATTACTTTAAATACCCATATCTTGCGCAATGTTTTTAGATTTTGTTGTTATATTTTAAGATAATATTTTGGTTATTAATTACTCTAAACTTCTTAGAATTCTAGAATTAAAAATTTCTCTAAAAATTATGTTTTGAACTTTTTTCACAAGTTACCAAGTATGATTCTAAACCAAATTTAAATTTGCAGAAAAGTAAGTAAAAAAAAATGCTTTTTTATAAAAATGTCACTGAACATAAAAATGTTTAGAGCTACAAGTTTACTGCTGTATTTTTTGGCATAGGGTGTTCAAAAGCATCCTTTTACAGTTGTAATTTACGGTTGGTCCCTCAAACCACTAAATTTGATTTGTATGAGAAATCGAATGAGTTATCCAAATATCCAGCAGATACTATTTCACATTAAACATTCCTTAATAAGACTTATAAAGTTTTAAATTAATTCGCTAAGTATTATTGGAGAAAAGAAGTTTTTAAAATAATTCGCTAAGTATTTTTTGAGAAATATGAACAAAATAAATGTGTTACTATAAGAGTGTTTCCATTATTTTGTCCTACCCCTGTATATGAAAATTCATGTTTAAACAAGTATACTCAATATATGGAGCATTATCTAAACAGTAATTAAACTGTGACTAATATTGGCGTAGATAATGAGAAATCAGTTCCCTTACCCATTTCCAGATATTCATCAAACAATGCCATATGATCACATTCGAGTAAATTATAATCGATTTCCCAACGAGTGGTGGCCTTTCTGTCTTTTGGACCATCCCTTGTTCTCCACCAACGTTTCCACCAATTCATCACTTCCCTAGGAAGAAAAAAAAGAATTTTTTTTTGTTTTCTTTCACTACTTTATTCTTCTTATGGTGCATGAATATATAATCAATTGCAACAAGAATGTAAAAAAATAAATATTCAAATAAATAATACGGTTCATGTAAGACTATGGTTAGCAATTGAACATTTCGTGAAATAAATTTTAAATTATGACTTTTCTGAAGTTTTATTACTCAGAAATTATTAGATGTATTTCAATTAAATTATGTATTGTGTCATTTAAAATTAAAAGAAAAAACACCTTACAATTTAAGTGCTTTCGATCGTTGTTAAATAAATGGACAAATTTCAATAATCGCATTTTGCATAAAATTATCTTTGGATAAGCGAGTTTCAGTTTTAGGTGAAAAGTTCTATTGATTCACTTGCATAGTAGCAAAATTATGACAGAAAAAAAGTAAGAAATTAAGTTAGCGTTATAAGACTAAAATAAATTTTTAATGTAGCTATAATTTTAAGTCTGATTTCGCAACCTAAAATATTGTCTGTATTAATTAGATATGATATTTCAGGTTAGTTTCTCAAACCACTGCTATGACATATTTGTTGGTGAAAATTTGATTACTAGATCAAAAGTAGTTAATGTGATCCGCATTTATTTTATTTAGCGAAATGTGTATGCATAGATAACTTTCGTAGATCAAAATATTGTTGAACTAGCAGTTTTATCCTAATTTGAAAAAGTTTCACTTGAAGCAGTCACTTAAGACAAATAACTAGTCACAAAATAACAAAATAAATTAATTTAGTTCAACGCATTGTTGTCAAATATTACTTACGCCCAAGAAAGCTCTGAAATATTGTTCAATATTTGTTTTCCAACCATTATAATTGCTAACTGAACACACACTTCAAAAAGGCATCCTCCAAGCTCACACTGAAATAAAATACATATTAGTAATCTGATCAAATTATTTAAGTAGATAAATAAATAAAAATTGCAGAAAAGAAGTTCAGCGTACCTGATCTTGACGATAACCAAATAAAGTAAACGTTTTTCCTGGATGACCAAAAAATCTGCAAAAAATTATAAGTCTTTGAGATAGAGACATGTACAAGAAATTTTTATTTTATTTTATTGAATCAACAAAAGTTATGATCATATTAAAGCATATCATTAGATATACTACATGTAATGAACATGTTTTGGCAATTTCAAAAACAAAGAAAACAATTCTGACAACCTTCACTAAAAGAATGTTTAATATACTTTTAAATTTTTTATTCCTGCAATAAATACCCTTTATTCTGAAAAACTGTAAAAATTGCGGATAATAAAAATGCCCTAAGTAAAAAATTCTGGAATTCCAATAAAAAGTAGTACTGGCATTCTGAGTACAGCATCTGTTCTTACCTTAAAATTTTATGCAGTAATATTCTTTATTTACAGTGATTTTACAGTAAATTTTACTGTGAAAATTATGGTTTATCAGATTTCTCGTTCCGTACATTTTTACAGTCAAAATTTACCAGCACTCAAGGTGCCAGTATCTTTTATTTCATTCTATTCTGGAACTATTTTACTGTGTAATTGCAATATATGAGCATAAAATTGAGTTACGGGGAACCAGGCCAGAAAGGCCAAGCAATATATTTTATTTTTATTTCGTAAGCATCGTTGAGCAGCCGACTCAATTCTTACTGCAAATGCTCAACTCCGAAGACTTGTAATTTTGAACTCAACCCAGAAGTGTATCAAGTAGTGGGAGAAATTTGCCTTTGTGTAGGATTTTATAGTGAATAGAATTCAAGAACTTTTCCTAATGTTATTGCAATATATGAACATAAGCAAAAAAAAAGATCTTTCAATTCTTTCTATTTATTTATATAGATATGCTACATATTTAGAAAACATTTATGTGTACGCACAAAGTAATAGTTGGTTTGACACTGTTATCGGCGTAACTCAAATAATTAAAATAACTCAATTTAAATTTAAGTTCATTTAGAAAATAATAAGATTGAGTATTATAATTCATTTTGAAAACTATCACATTTGACATAAAAAATTTAAATTTAATCAAAGTAAAATTAAATGAAATAATCGTTTTAAGAATAATTTTATGTGATGTCAAACTAACGAAATATATTTAAACAATAATTTCATTTTCAGCTCAAGCATTTATTGAGAAAATGAAAATGAGTTGCTTGTGCTTGCAAACAATTTATATTCAAGAAATATAAAATAGATTGAATCGTAAAATTTTATGTATTTTTGGGCAGAAATTTGGATTTTATGAATATATTTATGATATTTACTCTTATCATTTCAGATTTTATTGCTAAAAGGTGTGGGGTGATTTATACCTAATCCACTTTAGGATATTGGGGTTTTATTTATAAACAAAATATTTGAAGGTACAAATTGTCGTTCTGATTCACACTGGTTATTTTCCAAGGAATTTAGCTAACAAATATTTTTTCGATCACCAAAGGTAATTTTTTCGAATTTTATCTTAGACAATATTTAAAACATAGTTTTGAATTTACTTTCTTTTAAAACTTTTTTTTTTCGTTACGTTTTAGAAGAGTTGCATATTTTCATTATTATTAAATTGCCCAACATTTAGCGATTTAATGCAGGGTGGTTTTGGCAGGTCTTTGCTGAATTATGCCCCCTTGGTGAAGATACTTTTAGTGAGAGTTTTGGTACATAAAAGTTTGTATAAATGTATAACATAATTAAAGCATTCCCGCAAAATCCGGATAAGGGTCAAGGGAGCCGTGGTGGCTTAGGGGATAGAGTGAGCGCTTTCCAATGCGGTGAACTGGGTTCGAATTCCAGTGATGGCTGGTCGATATGAATTCCACACTCGGCTCGCACCGACCACAGTGCAGAAATATATATTAAGGGTAGACGGACCATGGGTTAGAGTCCCCTGGGCGACAGGCTAACTGTGGAAGGTTTTCGTGGTCTTCTTCTCCATGTAACGCAAATGCGGGTTAGTTCCATCAGAAAGTCCTCCCCGAAGGCAAATTTTACCCAATGCTTGATCCAGGAGTTCTCTCGTTTTCTGGATTAGAAGCCGTAAACTCAAAATTTGGGTCGGCTGTTCAACGACGGTTATGACATAAAACAAGATAAGGGTCAATGGGTCATAGTGGATAAGGCTCCAGACTTTCATGGACAACGGTAAAACTGCGATAATTTGGTCAACATTGCGAACAATGTTTCATTTACTTTCCAATCAAACTGGCGCCCATCGATCTGAAGCTGGGAGGAAGGGGGGTTCAAGTCGCTATTGAGACTCGAACCCTAGTCCTTTATTATTACAGCTAGGTGCCCTTAACCCCTGAGTCATCGTGATAATTTGTGGTTATAATGTATGCGTTTAAAAGGAGTGTTACGGACGATTTCACAGATCTTACAGTGGTTAGAGTACTTTTTCTCCTTGAAGCGGGACAATAAAGAAACTAACAGTTAAGTTAGGACAATATGTTTGGCATGAAAAATAGCGGAGCTAGACAAGACTTAGAAAAGAGTGTTTCATAAAATTTCGATGAAATAGCTTTTAAGTTCTACTAAAAGCGTTTCGACGACAGCAAGCAGGAAGTAGAATACAGAGATTTGTCTTCAGCATCATAACTTCTGCATCTCTATTTGACAGTCCGATTATTCGTACACGGAAAAAATATTCTGGTAAAATTACCAAACTGTAAGGTAGTGACATTTCTGGTAAAAAAATCCCATAATTCTGGTTAATAAAACCAAAATATGCGGTAATTAACCCAATTATTTGGTAACAGTTTTCTGGAAATTCTGGTTTTTGAAATTATAATTATTATTACCACATATTTAGTAAAAAATACAAAACTGAAAGCTAAATTTTACCGGATAAACTGTTTTTATGTCATGCTGCAAGCTATCATGATAAAGTTACCAAATTTTACCACATTTATCAAATTTCATAACATAATATGAAGTCCTATATATATTTATTTGTTGATTCTAACAAAATCATTATCAAAGCACTTCGGTAAAAATTACCGAGTTTTTTAATGTTCCCATAGAGGCAGAAACACGGTAAATGCTTCCATATTCTGAAAGTTTTGCTCATATTTCTTTCTCAGTGCACTAAAATTATTGTTTCAAATTCAGTTTAGGTTTTCTTTTGCAAATAAATGTTTTCATAGCGGTGGGAAAAATTGGTAGTTGCCCTAAAAGTTTTACAACTCAGAAACTGTAATCTTAACTGGGAGAGAAAATGAATTGTTTTAAAGCTAAATTTAGCGTTGACACTTAAAAATGCCTTGACATTTTTAAGTGTCAACGCTTAAAATGACTCTTAAAAAATTTTATTCTGTTCTTTAGAATACTATGCTGAACAAGGGGTCATATACTTTTAATTATTTGATACCCCCGAAAACATTTTATAATCACTTGATACTACATTACATTTACATTTAGATGAGCTACATATACACAGTGTTTTAAATGAACTGTTGAAAAATTCTGTCTTTCAGTAGAAATCAGATGTTAGAAATTTACTCAGAAATTCTACTATCGAATATATTCAATTCAGAATAATCATATTATAATCGCAAGGATTTTGAATAACAAAAAAATCATGTAACTAAATTAAAAAAAAGTACCCACAATCGTGCGTCATCAGTACTTTTTTTTAAAAAGTTGTTACGGTTGTTATGTCTGAGAAAAAAGAACATTGCCAAAACTACCTGAATATGGAAAAAATTTACCGTGTTTCTGGCTCGATTAGAACACCAAAAAAACTCGATAATATTTTGCGAAGCCCTTTAGTCATATTTTTGTTAAAATTAACAATGGAATATGATTTAATAATATGAGATAAAATTTGGTTGTTGTGAAAAAACTTGATAAGTTTATCATTACACCTTAGAGCATGGTATAAAAACTGGTAAATTTATTTGGTGAAATTTACCTTCCAGTTTTGTATTTTGACAAAATGAGTGGTAATAAGAACTGTAATTTTGATAACCAGAATTTCCATAAACCTTACCATAAATTTGAAGAAGTATCAAATAAATGTTTAAATACCGTACATTTTGAGTTTTAATACCATAACTAATTTTTTTTATCAGCAATGTCTTTACAATACGTTACATTAATTTATCCGAATTTTCTCGCCATGTGTAATTTATATGGGACCTAAAAATTCTGAACATATGGTTTTTTACCTTAAAGTAAATAAAAAAAATTTTTTTTAAGCGAATTATTATTTTAAATGAGCAGAAAAATAATTAAGCACCGATGTTTTAAATATCGAACATCACCCAATTGATAATACATTTTCAAAAAAATAATTGATCATCGGGTGCCTTACCACTGTTTCTAGGCTTAATATTTATTTTAATTATTTACAAGATGAATTGACTATTTCTAATTTAGCTTATTCGTTGATTCAATGTTTTACTCATTTACTAATATAAGGATTCGGTAATTCTCATACCCACTGATCAGTCGATTTATTGATTCAATCATTCAATGACTTACTTACTAATCTAAAATTTCTATCTTTAACCAGACTTTAATCACTACTTTTCAGATTTAAATACTTCGATATATTTAGTCATCAATTCGCTACTTTTTGTTCCTCATTCACTTTTATTATCTCCATTCAATCAAGCTACTTGTTCATATAGCGACGCAGAATATATAAAGAAGTCTTAATTAATTATTAAAAAATGTCAACATCTCCTAAAACTAAAATACATTTACAAACCCTTAAAAAACAATAACAGGCATTCATAAATAATATATAACCTAGAATTTCTTGAATTCAGACAAACCAGAAAACAAACTTCAAATATGGCCATAAAACTATTTGTCCAAAAGTAGCGTCAGAATGCCGTCGGCAACAAATATTGAGAGTGCATGCGTTGCGTGAACAAAATGTTTGAGAGGTTGCGTTTCTTTCTATTTGTTGTAGATTTCTAGGACTCATGAAGAAAAAATAGTTGAAAAATGCTTGAAATAAAATTTGAAAATGTCTTATAGGAAGTTTTACACTAGACGGTGCACTCTGTGTTACTTTTC